CTCTGATAAGGCCGCAGGATGTGCCGGGGAGGCGAGACTGGCCCTAAATCTGGGAAGCTGCTGTGGCACGAACCTCAGAATTGCAAAAATCTGCCGTGTTTGCAGTGAAAAGTCCCATTATCTTTGGAATATCCCGTCCTGTAACCGGCTTTGTAAATGTTTTTATTGGACTTTCGAGCAAGGAAATTGCAATATGGGCTCCTGTTGCTGCCCGGGCTTAACCTAGGGAGTTATGTGGGCGTTTATCGTTTGAAGATACAGCAAAATACTTAAACTGAGATTACCGAGCATATCTGTGCCCCCCCTCCCACCGCCCCTTTTCCTTTCATTTCCTTAGAAATACAGTGTAGTTGCGATATGCAGGAGTCAGGAAAAAAATCTGCAGAGGCAACTTTTCGCTATCAAGAAAAAATAGCTTTGGAATTATATCTTCAATTTAAACTTTTTTTGAAGACGCCAGCGTCTCCAGTGAGCGATGCGTAGCAGTCTGGTTAAGCTGTGTGCCTGCGGTATGCGTTTAAGGAAGGAAACCAGAGCCAGCAGCTCCGAAATGTGGATCCAAAGATCTGATGCTGCCTCTCTTGAAGTCAGACTAATTTTTTTTAGGATTTAAATATTTTGCTCATATCTCTTCAGATTTTGTTCACCCTCACCCCAGTACCATTTCCCCCCAATAACCCTAAACATACTAGGCGGATATATCAAATATATGTTAAAAGATATAGGGAAAAGTGGGAAAGTAGTTTGGCTTGCTCCAGTTTCTCTTTAGAGGGTGTACAAATGTGCTTGAATTTAAATCTTCCTACTATTAGAAAAAGTACTGACCTCCCCCCACCAAATACTTCAAAATTAATCTTGCAAAATCAATGCAAATCTCCAGTGCAGTGCATTAAATTTAGTTTAAGTTACTAGGGGAGTTAAGTTAGTAATTTGCCAGCATAGACTATGTGGATACAATCTGGCAATTAAAACAGCATTAATGTGTCCATTTTGGGAATCTGCACTCCTTTCACTGGATTTATTGAAAACTGATTTCATTAAAAGGTTGCAGCTATTATTCCTGTTCGAGACATAAGAGTTTGTAGTCTGGTCAAAGGGTCAGGCGGTTAATGACAGGACAAGTGACTCCTATCGTGGCATGTGTAAATTACAAATTTGCATAAGTTTCTGCAGAGTTTGATTGCAAAGATAACTTACTTTTAGGATATCGTGGTGACAAAATGCAGCATTTGTCAGTTGCTGGTGGATACACTGAATAAAGGAAAGCCAGCAGCGCACCACACAGTAAATTTCTATGGCAAATAAGAGAGACCAAGATAGCTCTTAGAGGCTTCCTCCTCCGTGTTTGCTGTCCTCAGTACATCTCTCAAAAGTCTTAGGACTGCCAGATCAGGCTGTGCCTTTCCCTCACTTTGATAAAGGGTACTTCATCGTGCTTACACAGGATTGATCAAGTATTTCTTAATTAAGTCACTGTAAGTTTTGTCTGCATAAAGAGGACTCATGTTCCTAGTGAATTTGCTTTTTTTGCAAAAGGCACATGTTGATTGTATGATCTCAGTAGCTACAGATGAGCTGTGTAATGACGGGGTAGGAGCGCTCCCTGACCACGGAATGTAAATTGCAGCTTAAAACTTTCCAAAAACTGATTTACCCTCAACAGAACATGTTCCTAACCTTCTAACCAGATGGTTAAACATCTTGTCTCCAGTAACTTTTTGGTTGCTATTAGAATTCTTAAATAGAGGTGGGTTCATGCCACAGACTTTCTCAGTTTCTCAAGTTTATATTAATCGGAGGGTTTGGTTTGCTGCATTGTAAAGATGGAGTAATGAGAAACTCATGTTTGGGAATCAGAAACTAACGTGCCCTCAGAAAAAGGGGTGTGTAGCTGCAGATGTTTGGTTGGCATTCATCTTGAGTATTACGAGGGAGTAAATTTCTCTGAGAAAGCATCACTTCTCAGAGACAGCTTGCATCCAAAGAAAATCAGTGTGTTGTACCTAAAATATTAAACTGGAAAGCAATTAATCTATCTCTGAATCAAAAGTACCCTCTTTGTTTTACAGAACGTCTTGTGCTGACTTTCTGCACGTTCAGAGACAAACCAGCCAGGTGATCTAAAACACAAACCGCACTAAAAACAGCACAGAATGGCATAGCTTTAGAACAATGGTCCCAACCTTTGTTCCACGGTAGTCAAGCTAAGAGGGACCGGCATTTGGATAGCCTCACCACAGACACACAATGGTATGTATGGTATGTATATGTATGTACACATATACACATTATGTGCTGTATTTCTATTATGTCTGTGTCACTCCACTTGCTCATTCAGTCCCATCCTCTGCCCCTATCCTGGAAAACTATGTGAATATATGAAATTCCAGTCTTTATTCTTCGCTTTGGCTAATAGGAAATGGTCTCAGTTTGGGAAGTTCATTTCCTGCTAGGACCTGTGTTGATGAACTGCCGTATACTGAAAATATGAATCTGGTTTGACTTAGTAACTGGCAGCTGCTGCTCTTTGGGAAGAGAATGTTTCTTTTCTTGTGACTGTACAGACATTGTGGCTACAGGATGGTAACAGGTGCTTCAAAGACAGCTTTTGTCCCAGAGAGACGCAGGCTTATCAGCAAAAGCACATCAGAGTGATACTTTATGAGGAGGGAAGTATGCATCAAACTTGTGCTGTTTTTCAGGGTAGGTTCTCCAATTCTCAGTTACATATTTACCTTTCGGTCGTTGGTGGCTTTGAATAATAAACGTTGATTTTGAGAGGGAAGAGAAAAGATTTTGTCAATATCCCTGACAACCTGTAACTTTATGGATGATGAATACAACTGCAGCTAGAAATTAGCTATTTGAAGATCTAATTTTAAAGAAGACAGAATATAATGAAGGATATAGTAAAAAAAACCTTTTTGGTCCGCCTTCTTCATGCAGTAATTCAAAAACAGATGTTGAAAACTTATTAGAAAACTACAACTTGAAGTCCATCCATCGATTAGCCCAACTTCCACTTTTATGTACTTGTATTTAAGCTTTCATTTTTAAATGCTGATTTTTTTCACCGGCCAAGTGGCTGCAGAAATCTTACTCCAAACATAAACTGTGCAGACCTACAAATATTTTAGTTTTATTTCCATCAAGAGATATTGGAAGTATTGTCCTTAACAGTTCCAAATAACAATTTTCGCCTTGTTTAACAATTGTCGGAGACAGAGTTTACCATGGACAGGTAAATACCACTGTGATGCAAAAAGTAATTCTAATGTGAGAACAGACTTACAGGGAAACAAGATTTGATTGCACCATCTCTTTGAATTATGATATGCGAGACACTTAAAAGATTTTCTCTTAACATTGTGCAAAAAAAAAAAAATTAGTTAAAGCCTGGGTGTATCAAATTGGTCCGCCTTCTTCACTTGACTATTCAGGACTTGACTATTCAGGAACAATTATTTCCTAAACAAAGAGAAAAAACTTCCATGCTAACAACTCCTTTTGCCACTATATGTTCTACCTAACTGCCTACTAATTAGTAATGAT